TGATCTAACACTGAATTCTTTTCCTGAGTTTATATGCATTGAATGAATTGCACTAAGGAGAATTTTGATGCTTATGAAGATTATGCTATCCTAATACAGTGTACCTCTGACCTGAATGAAATAAATCAACTGAGAACAGTCATTAAAGAATATGAAGAGCTTGTTGGAGAGTACAAAGTGCAGGTAGAGTGGATAGGAAGGTAGTAAATGGCTTCCTAAAGATAGTTTTAAGGTAGAAAGCGCTGTCAGTGTTTCAGCAGTGAGAGTAGATAAGAGTGTCCAGCCACTTTCCCCTTTTCTTTTGTAATCTTTTTCTCTCTAAACCAAATGACATGTTAGGCTTTGACTTTCTTCTGCGATCCACATCGGTTTGCTACAAGAGCTGTGACTACCGTTCAGTTGGTTCCTTTCATCTCTGGACAAACGGTTTCCTCTTTGGATCGCAAAAGGAACTTGTTGGATCTTCACGGATTGAGTGATTTTCTTCGTTCGACACTCGTCACGATTCATTTTTTAGGATATCTTTTTTTGTCCCTGGAGTACTTGACTGAATGTTTTATAAACTAAGTTTTAGTGTATAGAATGAGGTGTTTTTGAAATGAAATGTTATACTTGAAAAATAAAATGAGGAAAGTCAGCAACCATCTTGTTTGAGTCACCGCAATCAATCTCGTCTCAAAATCTCCTGCGGCTACAGAGCTCAAATATAATCTGGGTACGAGTTTAACCAGCATAATCTGCCTTAATCCGTAACTAAAATCAAATTTCCTTTCCTCTTTTAACCTTTCATTAACAGATTGACAAATATCGGAGAGAAGCCGAAGACTCGAAAAACAGATTGTATGAATACGAGGCTGAAGCACAGAAAATGCATCAGGAGAGTGCACTGGAAAATGAGAAGGTAATACAAATAAGACCGCTGTACAAGTCAGTGACGTAGAACCTCCCCCAAATTCGTAACAACGTCCAATCAGAACACAGGAACACAGAGAATTTATAACATAGCGGGAAACCAACGAGAAAGAAAAGCGAAAACATGGTAACAACTTCAAGCGCGGGAAAATGTAATTGAACTAGTAGTGATTGGTTTAAATTTTAGATCTTATTGGTTCTTAAGCTAGCGCGGGTTTCCTTAACAAATCATTGACCATGGTTAAGCAAAAGCGATGCAATCCCGAATTATTTCCAACAGTCAACTGAAGATTAAGATAAGTCTGAATCTAAGCCCCCCTAGCGGAACTTATCTCAATAGTTTTGGTTTACTTTGAAAAATGAAGAATCTTACCCAAAGTCAACCTGGCAGGGCTGGAGTCCGTACCGCTCGGTCTTGAGTCCAGCATGATCTTTAGTCCTTTAGAACAAGTTTTTTAGCTGATCTAGACAGGTGAAGGAAGATGAAACGATTTAACACGTTAATCTTTTCTTTTATGAAGGTTAAAATTAAAATGCAGAAGAGGCTTTCTGAGCTGGAACCACTCGCAGACCTACTTAAGGTAACAACTGTGAACAATTGAGAGATGATTTTTCTCTCCAGGAGATACAATTTGTTCCAGTTCTAAACTGATAACCAACTTTATCCGTAGTCCTCAGACGCCCGTTTGCAAGATTCTCAAGAGAGGATTTTGGCTTACGAAAGGAGATCGAACGAACACGCAAAACTCATATCTGAACTGACACAGAAGGTGAGAAGAACGAGGATGTGCTTAGCAGCCTTAGTGGCCTTCAGGTGTGCGATCCTGTACGGTCAGCGCTCGGCTCGTATTGTTGCCTCAGTCTTTACTTTTTCCCTCTTTTTTTAATAAGAGTTTTTGCAAAATATGCCTGTGGTGTAAATAAAATGTTGAATGGGTTATGAAGTCATATTTTCGAAATGAGAAATATTTTAAATGACCTTAAAATCTTATATATCAATCCATGTCTCAAACTGGTGAGTAGATGTCGTCTTAACAGTCAGGGCTGTTTACTTTAACTGAAAAATATGCTCGCCATGAAAAAAACGCTCTCCATGAAAGGGGTTTCTGTATCGCAGTATTTTACATAATGCTATTAATTCCTTTTTAAAGGTGGAAACGCAAACAGATCAATTAGAACATCTGCGCGAGAAATTGAGGATGGCGCAGGATGAGACAAGAAGCATGCAAGCCAAGCACGAAGTCTTAGAAAGGTTTGTGGAGACTCGACCATAGCCTGTGAAATAGTAGAGTTATTGTCTCACAACGAATGCAAGAAAATTAAACATCTTGTCTTGTTTGTCAGCTCGTTGTACAACGATTGATTAAAACAACAGTATTTGATCCGTCTTGGGTGAACGATTGATCTTTTTCTATAGGAAATTAGCCGATTCTGATCAACAAAACAGAGAACTTATCGGAGTCATCAGCAAGAAAGAGGAATCTTTGTATCAGTCACAGGTTGGTGCCACCTTTCGAATCATTGTCTTGTTCATCTCCGAGATGAACTAGACAATGATTCGACAAATACAGGTCGCTTGATTATAGTCCTCAACTGATTATTTTACATACTAACTTATCTACCAAAGAGCGCAGTAAGTCTCAGAGATTTTCTCAATGTTCAGATTTAAAATTTACAATAGGATACATTATCCCCCACATCTGGCGAGATTAACGACTCGGTGAGAACGCGAGTAATACGCGTGAAAAGATCGCGCGTGGCGGTATGAATTACCAGTGAAACCGAGCCTCTGCTACGCTCACTGCATTACAGCTGGGATCACCAAAAAATTACAACATAACGTAAACAAAGAAGTGGGTAATGTAGTGGGCTTTCCGAAATGACGCGCTAGAGGCAGTTATCTCCATCGCTTACGCACGTGCGGTGTGTGAAGTGCTGTCAGTATAGTGATTTTCTGTTTGTGTGGTTTTATCTGAAAGCAAAGACAAGAGGACCTCCGAGCGGAAAATATTCGACTAAACCAGCAGCTGGAGTCGTCTGTTCTAGACGCCAGAAGACAGGTGGATAGTCAAAAGGAGAAGGCTCTTGTCAAGGTTGGTTGGGTGGGGAGGGTGGGGGATCTTGTATACAATAAAAATCCAATTCCTCTGATTCCAACACTCGAAACAATTGAAGAGATTCTAAACCCAGTTTAAAAGTTGCATAATGGCCTCACCAGGTTTCAATTCCTAAATGAAGTTTCATTATTTTAATTTTGACAGGAGCGTGCTGCGCATGCACGTATCTCAGATTTGGAAGCTCAGCTGAGCCGAGCGACCGTGTCCATGGCAGAGCTTAAGAGAAGTAAAGATGAGGTATCCAAGCACTATTTTTAATGTTTCCATGTGTATTCAAGGAGAAGACGTACTAATCTTATTTTCTGCAGAAACTCCAACAGCAACAAAAAAATTGATTTGTACTTTGACTTGCACTTTAGAACCATTCACGCGTGCGCGTGCGTGACGCGAAGTATCTTCCTATATCCAGCTTTACTAGACTAGTTTGCACTTTCTCTCATATCATAGCTAACCCATTGTTTTTTGTTCCTTTGTTTGATGTAAATTCAGACTGAGAGGCGTTACAACTCCAAACTGTTTGACATGAGGGACCGGCTTGAACAAGCCAACAGCACAACACGGAGTATGCAGAATTACGTCTCCTTCCTAAAATCATCATACTCTAATGTATTTGATGAACTTGAATCACCAAGATGACCTACATATCGTTAGCTACCTTAAAATGTTTCCTCAATAAGACTTACTTTTAATCAAAAATAGTTTTTTAAACGTCAAAACACACCTAACGCTTTTTACTCGCCTTCCTAAAATTCGTTTTGTTATCTGTATATATTGCTGATTACACCTGGAAAACATCTAAACTTAACTTTTTGTCTCTAAATTCAGCATTTTAACTTGGTCATTTCTATTTACATTTTAGTAAATATTTATTATGACTTTTATACACACCCAAACATCCCCTATATAAGAACGGATGTAAACATTTTATATTTTGCATTTGTATAAAGGTTATGTCTCGTCGCGAGAGGTCTAGGGCAAGAAATATGTATCTTTTATTTTGGTCCATTTTTTTTTATTCAAACAAGCCCATGTTTTAAATATTCTTCTTGTCGATATTAAAGGGGGTTTTTATTACTGAATGTTCCTGCACTTCATGTCCCATATGAAATACACAATACTGACAACCCTTGCGTTTACATTACGCCGGATTTTTTTAGAAACGTAGCGTTATTTCAATGGTTATGCCTACGTACTGTACATGCTAATTCGAATGAATTCTCCCCTGAAACAAGACTTTTCGATGACGCTTTTCAAAGTGAATGAATTTAAAACGCGGGCTTTAGACATAACAAAGTCGTGGAAATAAAACTTTTCGAAAAAGCTGACGCACCTGCTCTCTTGTCTTTTTTTATGGAAAAATTTTGAAGTATTTCTTGAGTTTTCATCCGCCAGATTTTCGCAGTTCTCTGGGCCGTCCAGCTCAGCGACAAGCCCTTGCGGCCGTGTAGGCGCCGTTTTCTCAGGTCCGGTCTTCGAACCTCCTGAAAAGGTAGGGAAGGAGGGGAAGAACGAGTGCAGGCTCATTTTCCCGAACAGCGACTAGTAATCTAGCCTGTAACAGAGACGAAAATAAGTTCAACTTGCAGACGTGTTAACCTTAAAAGAACTCCTGTGTGGGATACAGACGCTGCGATAACGAAAGGTTTGGCCTATTTCACACCCGGTTAGTGAACACGAACGAGAGAGCGTGAACAAGAAACGGTGGACTGGTGCTACCGCGGTTTTTCTTGCGCTCGCATAGTCTCGTTTCCTCGGTGCACATAATTTCCGGTTCATGCAACTTCCGGTTCGAACTAACTTCTGATCCTTCCCTTAGACGGATAGCAGCTTACGGCCGTATCATGATCTGATATTTGGTTTGCGCCTGTATCACAAGATAATAAATACGTGATGTCCAATGCATGTCACTCTGATATGCAGGTTGCTTTGGAGACACTGACGTGTGGTCATAACTCACTGATCACTACAACACAACCGCGCTTTTCACGTCAGCTAGCCTTCGCTCTTTTTACTAAGAAAAAGTTCTGTAGGAAACCCCAAGTAAGGTCATCAGTGACTACACTTTCTACTCTGAATTCACAATTTAAAAATGAAACAGGACATAATGGTGAAATCTAAACAAATCTGTCGGTGGTACTTGTATGTTAATTTTTAGTGACCCGGTAAATGTTCAACCATTAATCTTAAGTAAGTAACGCGTGCTCTGTTTTGATCACACAATAGCGCTGCCTGGAAGCGCTGATAGAATCTGCTCGTCGCGATGAAAATAATTTTGGATTTTCTAACTCGTCTGTGGATTACTGTCGTGAATTATTTATTTCCCAAAAAGATAAAGGAGAGAAAAAGAACGCTGTCGATTGAGGAAACTATTATTTCAGAGCAAGCCGCTTTTCTGTGTCAGAAATACATCGAAGCAAGATTCACGCGATCAAATCTGTGCTACTACAACCCGAAGAGCCGGAAGAGAGACGGAGAGCCCACAATTGCATGTCCCGAGGATGTAGTCAACACATTGAACGAAATGGGCGCTTTGCTTGAGAAAAGCTACCCAAAACTCTATAACAACGTTTTGGATCAACTAAACTGGCGGATAAACCTTGCTATTCTCGTTTGTAACATGTTCAATCGCGTCTCCGAGCAAATTATAGCTTCTGGCGTGAACTGGGCTCGGATTATCGCTGTTTACGCTTTCGCCGGCGCACTAGCCTACGATTTAACACAGACAGGAGACACAAGATTCATCCGTTGTCTGTCGAGGTGGATGGGTCATTTCTCCGCCAGACGTTTGAGTCCATGGATCAGACAGAATGGAGGATGGGTAGGTTTGATTTGCTTTTAATTTTTTTTTCGCCTTCGTATCTGGTTGTTACCTTTTGTGTGAGGACTCCACGAGATATTGTTTGCTTCTCTTATGGTAGCATATCATCATTTGCATATATCCGTGTTTCAAGAATATCGAATGAAAATAACGAAGCGGCATCATGTTGGTTTATATTTTGTGAAATTTGATATTTGACCCTCGATTTTAATCCTTTGAAATAATGTTAGTTAATGGGTTCCTCTTATCAAGGCATGTTACCACAGATGCAGTAGTTTACGCGTGTTAGCGTTACCCTTTTAAGCTGGTTATATCAACAGCGTGTCGTCAACATACTTTCAAATCCCATAATCACTTCATTTTATTTGTGGAAGCTCGTCGCCAAGTGGTAATTAGTTTCGGTTGGATGAAAGCCAGAAGCTAGATGCCGACCCACGCTCGTCCCATCCACGATCGTCGTGTAACTTCGGTACCAGTCTTTCGGGATGTAGTTCTTTGATCAATACAGAAACGAACGAGGGCGATCGTCACTCATGGTTTTCCGACTACAAGTTATGAGCTGATTTCTGTAAAATTGAGAAACTTTGAGACTCCAACGATTTTTAGTGGATGCGTGGGAAGAATAGTTGTGTCGAAAGATTAGCTGTGTGGGAAGAATAATTCATGTCATGTCTCATAACATTGACCACTACCTCACAAGGCGTATATTTTTTTGTAAAATTTTACCTCGATTTTCTCTTTCATGCAAGGATAGAAAGGAGGAGGAATTCACCAAATTTAGTTTGTGACCAAGATCGTGCTGAGTATATGATAGGAAAACTCGAAAATATTTTTACTGCGAGAGTTTTTCTTAGTAACAGCCGTGAGGGGCTTGGTGAGGGCCGGGAGTACCAAAGCAGAAGCCACCTACTAGAAACCGTTCACCAGTACACGAAAATCAGCTGAAGTTCTTATTTCTAAATTTAATACACCACAAATTGGCGACGAGACGCAGCGCTAGACCTTTTTTGGGGGGCGCTGTTTGCTTTTCGGTTGGCAAAATAAGAACACCTACTCGCTCGCCATTCCCTC